AAACGTAGAACAGCGGGAGCACGTTGTCCGTTTTTTGTCCCCCACCCCCACCCCGCCCCCGCTGACGTCTGCCTGGATAGCATGCCTGCTCGATGCTGGGCTCCGGCTGGTTCCCTGGTGTTACGTCATATTAACCTTCTGAAAGGTTGTAGTGATGGTGCAGCAGTAGCCTAGCTGGTTGCTAGGACAGCCACAGGCCTGGGTTTTGTTGTGTGTGTGTGTTTTTTTCCTAATCACAAAATTGCAAATGGTCTGAAGGGTCCTAGAATAGTGGATGGAGCCTCTTCCCATGTGGGGCCTGAGTCGTGCCTGTGCTATTGGGAAAAAATGTCATTGCATAAAGAGTAATAATTAGCAAGCCATCTGCATACTTTTTTCTATATAAAAGCTCTGACAATGTCTTTCAGTTGTGTGTATGGTGCAAGAGGAAAACTGGCAGCCATCTGGATTTACGTTAATTCCCTAAATTATTTATCCATCTCTGTTTCAATAACCATTTCCCGTCCTTATCTATGCTTTGATGATATTACCTGTGGCATTCTGGAAGTGGCATTTATGGTAAGCAAGGAGCTGCAGGGGAAAAATTGACATGTAGCCACGGCTTTCTGGTTTCATGGTGAAATCAATGCAAGCCATTCTTCAGCCCTTTAATTAACTGCTCGCTTGCTAATGAGGGCTTTTTTCTTAAAGGTTCCTATGTTTTAAACAGTGAAGTCACCAGGAAATTACAATCAATATTTTAACAATTTCCCATTTGTTTCCATTGTGAGCCTTAAAAATTCCTACTGCCACCATCGTCCCTGAGAAAATTAAAATTGTTTCAGAACATGGTGAAGAGAAATAATTCAACTTGAAATAATACTTCAACTCAAAATGATTTCCCAGTGGCTCTCGTCCACTCCCCCAGGGCAAAATGCCACGTGTGCTCTGCAAGTGCCCCAATCTGGCTCCTCACCTGGCGCAGAATCACCTTTTGCCAGACATATCAAAACACTCACCGTTTGCCCGGTGTCATACAGGGTTCCGACCCATGTGCAGGACTGGGCTTTCATCCCAACATGTTTCACCCTAAAGTCAACATCTTTCATTCAATACCTGCCTCCTGTCTTTGGGGGTGTTTGGGGTACATAACAGTAGCCTCTTCTCTGAGGACAAACAACCTATGGGCCAGGCGCCCTGCCAAGGGTGGTCCCATACAGAGAGGGTTGCAACTCTGACTACACCCCAGTAAGGCAGTCCCACTATGACCCCACCTGACAAAGGAGACACCCAAGGCTCAGAAGCTTATACAGCTGGGAGGTGGTAGATCCTTACAGCACAGCCGCCAGCCTCCCAGGTCAAGTTGTACTTCCTCCTCGTGGGCCCGTCACCACCCTGGGACTCCCCACGGGCATTTGTCTGTCCAGGTGCCTGTTGCTTGTGGCCTCCAGTCTGCTGGGGTCAGAAAACACTGGTCATCAGGCTTAGGACTCTATGCAGCGGAGGAGTTAAGAAGCCCTGAGCGGATGCTCCAGGAGCCTAGGGCTCAGAGCCTGGGCTGTGGGGTGTGGCCTCTGCATGGCGGGAAGGGGGGGGCGCATAGCTGCAGGGGGCCAGGAGCCAGGGGAGAGGCCGCAGGGGCAGGTGGAGGGGTGACCTCCAGGTGGGCACAGCCAACAGCCTCTGCACATGCGCAGCAGCTGGGAGAGGGGTGGGAAACGTCAGGTGTTGTGGTGAGCCCTGCAACGTGCATCACCCCATTTCTTCCCTCTGGGTCCAGATTCCGTCATTTGGAGGTCACCCTGAACCCCCCTTTGCCCCAGCCATGGGTCAGCAGTGAGTTCTTCAGGGAAGCTTTGGGGGAACCCCAAACGTCTCTGGTAAAATAGTGAAACGGGAAGAGCTTAGGGCAAAGGCCTGCAGAGTCAGAGAGGTACAGACAGGCTCGTGGCTGGTGGAGCGAGGGAGGGCACCAGTGCCTGCTGCAACTTGGGCCAGGCTTCACGGAGGATGAGCCTTTTGAGATGAGCCCTGAAAGTCAGGTGGGATTCTGACAGGAGAGCTGGCATTCTAGGCGTGGGAAATACATAAGCAAAGGTAGAGAGGCCGGAAGAACCAGAGTTGTTCGATGTCCAATCAACAGTCCAGCCGGGCAGGAGGCCCAGAAGCATGTGTGGAAACACCAGGAGGTGAATCTGGACACGGAGGCTGGGGCCACCTGTGGAACACCAGGCTGAGGAGTTGGGATTTAGAGCTGTGGGCAGTAGGGAGCCACAGGAGGCTTTGGAACAAGGGTGTAACGATGAACAGTGCAACTGGATGTGTGTTTCTTACTGGCACTCAGCATGCCTGTTCTCCATGGGCCCCTACCTGTGCCGCACACAGAATTCCAGAAGCTGCCCAGTTAAGGTCCCAACATCGGTCACGTAAACTTGGGAAAACTTCGTGTATGTTCACAGGACTATGCCCATGAATGACAGGTGGCTGCTGACTGTTTTCATATCTCTTGAGCTCCAGGTTTGGGTCAGACCAAAGGCAGGGCCCACACTGGCCTTGGCATGGTACTCCTGGACCCCCATAGCCCAAGCCCAACCCTTTGCTTGGCAGCAACAGGGCCAGGAGATTCCCCCAGGAGAAGGGCAGCCCCTGGAGAACCTGTGGGATTCCTTTCCTTGCCTGGACCCGCTGTGGAAGCAGCCCAAGCTTTGAGGCCCAGTTGCTTACTGCTCGGCCACTCTCCAGCTGCTTGACCCGGGACATGCCCCTTAGCCTCTCCAAGCCTCCCATTTCCTCATCGAGAACACGGAGATGACAATGGCTAACACCACAATGGGTACATGGACTCATGCAGGTAAAGTACATGGTACACCTTGATACGTGGAGGGAGCTGTTAGCGCCAGACCCGGTCCACATTTGGAATGACAAAAGGGTCTCACAGCCAGTCTACTCAATGAGAACAAAGCCCTCACCCTCACTGTCTCTGGCCTCCTCTCCCATTTCTCCATCAAACTTGGAATATCCAAGGTGACAACTAGAAGGGAACCTCTGTTTCCAACAGTAACTGAAAGAATCACAACACATCTGGGCCACGGTGCCCCTTGGTGACATGACCTGAGGCTGGTTTCGTCACGTGAAGGCAAAGCTCTTTGCCTGACCTCCATCCTTCTTAAGGACACCACGAACCTCCTGAAAAGGTAATGACAGCTATGGGCCCCTTCCCCAGCGTATGTGTACAATCGTGTGGCCCCCAGAGTTTCCTGAAAAGTTCCAGGAAAATAGAATTCTACTAACCAGGAGCTAGGAATACAGCAGTGAGCAAAACAGACACTGATCGAGGCCCTCTTGGGATCTAACCTATAGAGGAGGTCAGCTAGCATTAAGTACTAAAGAGAAAACAAAGCAGGGAAGGGGAGAGGAAGTGCCAGAGATGGGTGTGGGGCTTTGAATTGTTACATAGGTTGGCCAGGTGACAGTTGTGTCAAGATGAAAGGAAATGAGGGAGCTGGCCCAGTGGATATCTGGGAAAGTGCATTCCAACAGAGGGAACAGCCAGTGCAAAGGCCCTAAGGAGGGATGTGCCTGGTGTGTTGAGGAAGAGTCAGGAGGCCTGGAGCAGGGTGAGAGCGAGGGCAAGAAGGAAGATGATGTCATCCAGGTGGGGGGATGGGGGCATGTCTGCTAGGCCACCAGAAGCACTTTAGTTTACAGAGGAGCTGCTGCAGGTGCTCAGAGAACAGAGACATTACTGGGGTGGGGAGGGAGGAAGAGGGAGGTAGGAAATGGCAACCTGTTAGGTGGCTACTGGAATAATCCAGGTGGGAGATGCTGACGGCTGAGCCCAGAGGGTAGCAGTGGACGGGGGGGGGGGGGGGGGGGGGGGGGGGGGGGGGGGGGGGGG